ATCCTAGATAATAATTATCAACTGTCCGATACACAGGTATTCATTTAGGTTTGAAATTACCCAAGCTGACCCCTCTAAATGATTTGATTCGATTAAATTCATCAACATCCACTGATGAATATCCTATAAATCATCAATACTCCGTTTTAATTGCTAGAAAAATGGCTCTTTGGGTTATTCAATTTGAATATGACGATAAAATCTCTTCATTGGATAATCGTATAATAACAGATGAGATTACAGCTTCATTCTTAAACTTAACAGAATTGAAACATCTATTGTTTAATGTATTTTTAAGATCTTTCATCGTGTATCTCTGTATATTTGAACAGGACATCTATTATAACCCTTATAGAATTAGATCTTTATGTGTCGTACAATTATAAACAGAAAACCCCGATAGATGTTTTTATGGATGCAATCTGTAAGATAAATTTACTCTCTACTGTATCTGGCAATCAATCATATTTAAGTAACCATTCAAAAATATCTCAAATATTATTGCGAGAGCTCTTCAGATCATCTGTTGTCAAAAGCATGGCGAAAGGACTCCTTTCTATTTTGAAAGAACGTGTACTTCTCACTCCTTTAGACACCCCTGTTGAATCTAATAAGGCAATTAAACTCGAACTCTTCCAGTATGATATTTCAACTCCTGATTTCGATGTTAAAAGTTCAACCTTCCAAACAGCAGAGTAAATCAAGAAGTATGGATATGATAAATTCCTTCAACTTCCGTTTGTTATAAATACTGAAGAACGGGTGATTGCGGAAATTCGTGTAATGGATGTTCAACCTTTCAATTACCTCATCGATAGGAAATCTTGCCTCTATTCATGGAGAATTTTTATGATGACTTGTTCCCACCACCCTTTAAACGAAAAAAAGAGATTACACTTGATTTAAACCAGGTCAAAAAAAACCGATATTTCGTCGAGATAGACATCTTTCTAGTGCTTTGACCCTCTCCGAGATAACATATATGTTTGCCTACAAAGACAACCCAAAAGCAATAAAGAAAGAACATATCTTGTTGTTGAATTATATCAAACAAAATAATATAGCATGCAAAGATCCTCATGAATTTATCCCCCTTATGTTAAATAGTCTGCCAGATTTGAAACTAAATAATACAGACAGTGACGAGGAGTTGTCAATTTTATTTAAAATTGCAGTGGACTGCACATCTATAAGTATTCAAAATTGGATAAATACGTCTATCAAATTTAACGCTCCAGCTATCCCTCTTTATTTATACCTGATTTATAATATCAAGCACCAATTAGAATGTATATATGATGCTTCTACCAACACCGCAAACTTTCAGATATCATTTCAATTAGGTAGCTGCAAAGGAATATACTTTGGAAATTTATTATTATTTAAAATACGAAACAATCATTTTTTGATCACCCATACTATTCTAACATGTTTCAAAGATATTATCAGTTCTTGGTTTGACCTTTTAATCTATAGTATTATTAACCCGACAAAATTATCTTAAATCTATATGAAAAAATTATTTCAACTATAGAGATTATCTCTAAATTAGCATTTGAAATGCCTAAGAATTATTTTGATGTCTTAAAGGCTTGGCCATCCTTAGCAATTGCTACAATATTATCTAGAACGGAGGACAATCAAGTCCTTCTCACGGAGATTATAAAAGATCTTCCAATAATTCTTCGACATCCTTATCAGGCAGTCTTTCTACCTAAAATTGAAAATAGTGAGGATGTTCATATTACTCTAGAACTATCAGGACTATGGAAATGCTTCGGCCATCCAATAATAGATATGGACGCCTCCGTGTGTAGCTGGATAACCAAAGGAGCTATATTCAAAAATAACTTAATCTACATGGGTAACGAAATTAGAAATATGTTTCGATATGTCTTTTCACGTGAATACTATGAAAAGAATAGAAAGTGGCCAAGTTTGAATGTCAACCAAAAAACACATCCCGAGATTCGAAGCGCTTATTCATCAGGGAATTGGCCTGAGATAAAAAAGAATCAATGGAGTCCAAACCACTTCGCACTTGTAACGTTTTCCAAAACCTTAGATTTTGACTACCACATTGATATATCAGATCTTTTGGCAGATAAAGCCATAATTCCCTCACGTGAAGAATGGGTACATGAGTACGATAGACAAGCTCATAGAACAATGTATGGTTATTTCCCTTCAGCACCTAAATTTTCTAACAGAAGTGCGTTAATAGATTTCATATTGAGAGAAACTTTTTGTGCTAAAGAAATCATCGAACGAATAAACAATAATAAAATTCCTACGTCATGGAAAATATTAGTTGCCATTGTAAAAAATAACGTAGATCCCCATTTATTCATGACACATTTATAAGAAAATTACACATTTATTAATAATTCTATTTATATATCAATTAACAAAATACATATTATAAATCATAATTATCCCTATTCATATATTCTTTATTCCCAAAGGTCCATTCTTGGACATCTCCTCCAATTACTCCAATATCTCCACTCCAAATCTCCAACAAAGGACTTTTCTTTAACAATAAAACATGTAATCCTTTCGTTTTCTTCCCATCCACCAGGAAAAACTAATTTCCCTGTCAGAAAATAACTGACATTTGATGTATTATATTAAATTTATTTCTTCTTTTTTTCAACAGTTACAACAGTAGGGTTGGCCAATAAAAATCAATTTGATTTAAATCATATTGGTATTTGGTTTAAATCGTGATTTATGTATATCAAAAAAAAATTATAAATTTTGCCAACCCTGCATGGTTAGTGATGATGAAGTAAAGGTAATTTATTTGCACCCTAAAGTAACTTCTCAGTCCTTTTATATCTATCAATACTGAATATTTTTATTGTTCCGAAAAATGATATTTCGTCAACCCTTTGATAGCTACAGGAAAGACTTATATAATTTAAACTCCACGAAAGAATCCAAATTAAATTCAAGGAAATCTAAATAAAATTAATCCGTATATTATAAGCTTACATTTTCAAAAAAACAAGCTTTTAAATAATTTTTCGCCATCTAACGGAATTTTTTTACCCCCCCCCCCCCTAAGATGCGATATTTATTTTATTGGTAAATCATGATTATGTATATAAAAATTTAATAATTTAGAATAGTAATTATATGTACATCGAATATTGAAGGAAATCGCTCTTATAAAATCTGAAAGGCTTCGCACCCTATCACAGTATTCCTCGCAAAGTTTGTTTAACCGAATTTGGGTATTATAACTGCGATTTTGTTTTCGGTGTCCAACTATCTACACGCCATCGTTCGAGTTTGGTTTCATCGGTAGCCACCTCGCATTCCATTTTTTTAAAATCAATACCCAGATTGATGGGTGTTTATTCCCAACCAGATTAGAAAATCGATGATTCCAACCTTCGTATCGATTATTTGTGCTTTCTTCGTCGGATAGAGTGCTCTGATTCACGTTCCATGTTTCTGGAGGAAATCGAGGGCTCAATTCGACTTGTTTCAGAATTGAGAATTGCTTTTTGTGACAAATTTCTATAAATATGATGAAAAAAAAATCGGGGGTTTTTTTTTGGTTTTCTTTTCCTATTACCATTTATAATATATCTATCTAATAGTATTTTTTTGAAACCAAGTTGAGACGCTTTGTTGAATCCCTATATCTTTAGTTCTAATAGAGCTATGAGGCTAAAATTTTTGATTCATCAAATACCAGAGTTGTTAAAAGATACTTTTTAAATGGATCTAGATACAGATACATCGTCTAAAATAATATCTAGATACCGATATTTTAATCAAAAATCTATCTAGATACAGATACAGATACCACATTTTTATATCTAGATACAGGATCTAGATACTTGTATCTAGATCCTTTAACTCTGTCAAATACAATAACTTCGTTCTTATCTTCATACCAAATATTTATCCAAATCTAAAATGGGCGGGTTGCAAAGTCGTTGACTTGATTACGGAATCATCCAACACCAAAAAGACTAGTAACGATCTTCTTTGGAAAATAAAGCCCTCCTAGCGGACTTTGAATTTAAGTTAAATGCGCAAGAAGAATTCATGTTTAAATATTATTTTAAAAGGTCAGAAATATGGAGCTCACTCTACGCGGAAACAGCTGGCCTAGTATGAGAAAATTAGGCTAAACGTAAAATATCCTTCATACCGAAGTGTTTCGTTTTGCCGTTTTATTTCAAATAATGTATTTTAAATAATGCTGTAAACGTTACTTAAAAAAACTTTTCTTTTTTCTTTGCCTTGATTAAAAATAAAAAGTAACGTGTTAGAGTCATTCGTTACATTATGAAAAATGGAACGCGTTACTCGTTATTCAAAATAAGTATTAAACGTTACTTAAAAAATACTAAATAATATATACAGTGGCGTAGCTACGGGGATGGTTTTTGGGTTTGGACCACTCCCAGAGCAAAAGTTTTTTTTTATAAATTTTACGTTCAAAAGACTTAAAAGTTGACTTTATATCAAATAAATACCATTAATATTTATATTTTTTCTGGTTTTGATGTTTGTGGAAGGATATTATATTACTATTGAAATTATTCTGGATAGTATTATTATAAAGTCATTGAGAATAATCTACTAAATTATAATAACATATTATTGATGCATTAAAAAAATATATTTATTATATATTATCGAAGATATGGTTATGATTTGTAAGATGGCCCGTTAAAGGGGCTCTGGGGAGGGCGAAGCCCCCAGGCTTTTATATGTATGGACCCCCTCTAAGGAAAATTCCTAGCCACGCCACCGAATATATATAATCTTTTTATTTATTTTTTTTTCCCATAAATAATAAAAACAATATATTATAAGATAAGATGCTTAATAATATTTCATTGGCCAGTGTCACCTAAACTAATTATTCTCAAAAATTAAATTTGATTTGATTGGTAGTAGAGGTGTCAAATTAACCAATTATTATACTCGGTCATCATCAATCGTATAAATTTTAAATTATTTTATTTTGAAAGAAGCAGACAAATGATACCGAAGAATCGCAGTTTCCCTGTACTATTTGCGAAGTCAGTTTTAACAGCTGGAAACATTTGCAAAGGCACCGGAAAAAATTTGATCACAAAGAGAACAAACCTTACAAATGCGAATGTTGTGAAAACTCTTTCAATTACCAAGCCAATTTGATTCTTCACAAAGCTACACATCAAGTCTTTCTTTCTTTCTTTCTTTCTTTCTTTCTTTCTTTCTTTCTTTCTTTCTTTCTTTCTTTCTTTCTTTCTTTCTTTCTTTCTTTCTTTCTTTCTTTCTTTCTTTCTTTCTTTCTTTCTTTCTTTCTTTCTTTCTTTCTTTCTTTCTTTCTTTCTTTCTTTCTTTCTTTCTTTCTTTCTTTCTTTCTTTCTTTCTTTCTTTCTTTCTTTCTTTCTTTCTTTCTTTCTTTCTTTCTTTCTTTCTTTCTTTCTTTCTTTCTTTCTTTCTTTCCTTCTTTCTTTCTTTCTCCCTTTTTTCCCCTTTAATTTACTACATAGGGAATTCATTCTAAATTTAATCACAATAAATATATATTTTTTTTAGTCAACCAACTTCCATTGCCCAGAATGCTACAAAAAATTTAATCGTCTAGCCAGCCTTAAATCGCACATTTTGATCCACGAGGTAGAGGAGAGTTTGGTTTGCAAAGAATGCGGAGACGAGTTTAATTTTCAAGTAATATGAAAGCGATAAAAACCACTAGCAATTTAACAGCTGATCTATCTGATAAGAAAAAAAATATTTGAATGAAAGCATTATCGCCGTGATATGGAATTAAAGATATGACAGCTTCTTTCTTTTAAAAAAAATTACGATCGATCGGCTCTTAAATCGCTAGCGATTTCATCTCATTTATTATAATAAAATCATACCAAGGAGCGGTTGACAAATATTGTAGTTCTGAAACGGGCTGGATTCTAGATCGCCAAGCGAGATTTGTCGAGTATAGACAAACCTTTTTAAATTCCTCACCCGCCCTTTAATTCGATAATGTTCGGTGCAGGGAGGAAAAATCTCTCCACTTGAGCCGAATTTTTAAAACGGACTAACTCAATATTTTAGCCAAAAAATATAAGCCTCGAGATTTCGCTAATAGATGCCCAAATCTTTGTGCCATCTGTTGTAATATTCAAATGAGTTAAAGAAAAATGAATAAAAAAAGATTTAATATTCATCAGATTAAATAAAGTTCAAGATTATTTCAGTTTGTTTTTTAAACATTATGTAAATGAATAATATAGAAAAGTATATATAATCGGGAATATTTTACTTAAAAAAAGGAAGAGAGTTATGATTTTACGAACTTAATTTTAAACTTTTAATTTTAATTTTTTTATATTATTTTAATTTCTTATTTTATTTATGATTATGTAATTAGTATTTATATTAATTAATAAAGTATTAGTAGTTAATTTATTTATACTATTTATTTTATTCTCTAAATTCTCTCAACCACTATATTTGCTGACCGACATTATGTTCTGGACATATTCAGTCTACTTAAAATACTAAAATTCTACACTATGAGCAAAATATTTAGGTAAACTACTTTGTTAGCCATTTTTAAAAATCGGCTCAGATAGAAACGATTTTGGCAACCCTAGTTCGATGTTAAAATAAAATTATTCTAGATTTTTTATTAATTTTTGATCATTTTGTGACTGTATTTTTTTTTACTTATAAAATAGATTTATGCAAGCAAGGGAGAAAAAAAAACATTAAGCATTCTTTAAATCCTCAATTTACATACTATTACGAACTATTTCTTTTTATAGAGTGAATTGGATATTCATAACAAACTCAACCACCAGCAGCAACCCTTGATCCATTCCAACAAAAATTTACTTCAAGCTTTTAACTCCCAACAGACTCAACTTGGACCTACGAATATCCATCCCAAAAGCCCTGGAATTATGGTTCCTTATCTAGGTGAATTAGATATAAGTCAAATATATTTTTTTTTCCACATGAAAGGAAGTTGTGGGGGGGGGGTAATGGCGTCACTCTAAAAACTGTCTTCTTACCACTTTTTACGGGTTCTTTACATGCAATTCTTATTAACCATAAATTATTTAATAAGCTAACTTATACAATTTCCCAATTTTAACTTAATTTGTTTGATCCTTATTTTCATTTATCACGAAAAGACAAAAACGAATAAAAAATAATAATTTTCGATTAGATAACAACGAACCACGCCCCATTACCGAAAGTTCTGAACGCGTGGAAATTATCACGAGCGGAATAATGAAACATAGTTGTGACATTTGTGACAAGACATTCCCCAAAATTAGTCACTTGCAAAGGCACATTAAAATACACACCGGTTATTTTTATTTTTTTAAAAAAAATATGTTTTCTCTATTTTAACTATTATAATTATAATTGGAAATTAAAATTCAGAACAAAACCAATATTTGAATAATTTTGGACTGGAATTTCAAAAAAAGGAAATTCTTCTATAACTGAATGGGCAAGATAGATAAAAAGGATAAAAAAGGGAAGGGGATTAATAATTCTTTATTATAATACCATTCACTTAATCCAGATATATCATAAATGCATCTATCCTATTTTCATTTTATTTTTTAGACAGAAGATTAAATTTTTTTTTGAGCTTTATACCCTTTTTCCTATGCATGTGATCGCTTGTTTCTAGAATTAAGCTAAATATAGGCTAGATGCATTTAAGATAAGAAAACCTGGATTTCGAAATTCACCCTTTTTTTCTAACGAAAGTAAAATATTGTTACTATATATAATTTAATTTTTATATGTATGTTTTTTACTTTCTTTTATTATTAGAGTATTTATTTTTGCACATTCTGTTCAGGCAATAAGCCCTTCAAATGTAGCGTCTGCTCCCGCTCCTTTTCGCAAAAGAGTTCACTTTCCTTCCATTTGACAACTAAACATCCCGCGGAAGGCGCCGATAAAATCAAGGGCACCAACGCTAGTAACTATAATAAAAATGATGGACAACATCCATCCAAACTTTTTCAATGCGAACAGTGCCCAGCTCAGTTCAATCAAAAAGGAAACCTCAAGTCCCACACTCTTAAATTGCATAGCGGTTACCGACGGATAGAGAGCGATTGCGTTAATAAGGCCGCGGTTAGTTACGGTAAGAGTGATAGAATCGCAAAATTACGAAATGGGGAATAATGCCTAAATTTATTTTATCTAATAATATTTACTATAAATCAAATAAATAATAATATATATATATGAGGGATATAATCAATATGATGATAATGAATATCGCCGCTTTAATAAATCACGTGTTCTACATTTGGTTCTGGGTTCGAAAACTTAAAAATGTATAGTTGAAAATTTCGCGAACAATCGACCAAATAAATACCAATTTTTGACAACCCTTGAACCCCAGATATTTTGAGACCGTAGCTGGTTCGGACCCATTTTGTAAAATTGATCACTCTTAAATGCATAGAAAAGCAATTTCAATTAAAATCCCGAATTTTGGTCTCTTTAGTCGATTTTTTTTAAAAAAATGGCGAAATATAGATTTTCGCCTTGCGATTTTGCCACGAGAGAGCTAAATCCTTTCCGACATCTTTTGAAGAAATCTCAATTCATTAGATAATATTTGTTTGACGAAAATTTTGATTTAACCATTTTTTTTAAAAAAATAGGCTACATCGAGGTTTTTAAATAAAATTACCAATTTATCATCAGAATGTGAATATGAAGCGCACTTAACTTTTGTCTCAGTGGGTAGCTATTTTCACACAGCCAAGCCCTTATATCTATCAAAATTTATATTAAAATTAGGTGCTCTTCATCATGGCCACGAAAATGAGTTAAATGTCATCCATGACTACGATAATCTTTCGCCTAGTAAGGGTGAAACCTGCAAAACTCTTTATTTCAAATGCGGCGAATGTAGTTGCGTGTTCACCAAACTGGGAAATCTGAATTCGCACACGAGCAAAATTCACGCTAGCAATCCACCCCGTTTGGATGAATCGATCGGTACTATCGTTGATCAGGTTAGATGCTATTTTTAAAAAATAGAAGGTTGGGGTCATCTTGCCATTTTCCCTTAAAGTTAGGGCATCCTATTTTATTTCTACGCTTTATTTTGGAGGATTTTTTTTAAAAATAAGAAATAAAATGAATACTTTCTTAATAGGTTCATTTTAATAGTTTGAGGAACCAACTTAAATGGTCTTAAGTTTTAGATGATCGTATTTTATTTTAGGTTTGATTTGTGGAACCTATATTTTATAATGATATTTTTATACAGGATATATTGGAAATTTGGAATTCAATGCTCAAAAGCATATTGAAGGTATGTGTTTTTTTAAAAAAAATTCTTATAATATATATACACATCTTAAAGAGAGTTAAGTAAATTGAACATAACAAAATTTAGCATTTTTTGATAGATGTTTAGATTATCATGCAAATTAAAAAATAATTTAATAGACATGCTTATTTGTTAGATTTAAAAATAATAGTTTACAAATACCTGAGAATAGTTTCTCTAAATTAACGTTCACGAAAAAGTATATAATAGATAGGATATAGGTATTTAAAAAACAATTTTAAAGTTTGAAGAATCATCTCAAAACGGGTCGAATGTTCAGGGAAATTTGATGGACATCTATGAGAATGTGGCCGCCACTCATATTTACGATAAGAATAATAAAAATATAAATGGTTCGTATTTTACCTTTCAACCTTACATTGTATTACACTAAAATATGGATGAATAAAACCCTTTTTATTAAAATAACAGTTAAGTTCTATGAAAGTGATTAGTTCTTCTTGAACTAAGGCCATGCTAAAGTTTTGAGCTTTTGAGCATATAATACTAAAAGATAGCAAGTCAAAAATTGAGATATGCACAATAGCGTTTCCAAAAAATTTGGTTATTCGGACTCTTGCACATTTAAAAAAAAAATTATCCTCTACTTTACTAGTTATATTAAATTCCGAATAATTTACGTATTTTATAGTGCATTGGCATAATTATATCTAGATTTACCTTGTTTAATTTTAAATTATGTTATAGTTTTAATTTATTATAATGATCATTAAACGTTCCGATTTCTCAACGCTAGAACGCGCTGAAATGATTCTAGCCTTATCCCTAAATTAATTACTTGGAATTAATTAGCTATTGTGCTTGCTACCTTTTTTTAACCGTCGAATCAGTTTATCGCAATTTTTTATGTTCCTTTTAAATTAATCGATTATAAGAAAATATTTTGTGTTAACCTGTTACGAAGTTATTAACTATACTACTATAACATCTTCGAATGATCTCCTTATAATGGGTTTACCTGGAATCTAAATCATCAGAGAATTAAATTGCAGATTCTAATGAATACTATAATATTTATATCAAAAATTATTTAAAATTAAATTATACATATATATATATATTTTTAAAAAAGCAAACGATTTCGGAGAATCTTATTACTACTATTTTCTGGATAATTCGTTCCTCTCTCAAAATTGTAATCTATCTTCAAAGACTATATCCGTGAACGATAAAAATGTTAAACACACAAATAACGAAATGACAGCGAAAGTTATTACACCTCAAAAATTTTTAGTCAATACTTTACGTCCTTCTCATACTTCTATCCTTTCCAACCCTCATAATCATTCGAAAGAGTCAGCCATCAATCAAAATAATATGCAAGTAGATGCCTCGGAGGATCCGATGCAAATCAATGGCTTGATGGGCGATAATTTGCGAAAAAAAAATAAACTCGACCCTGAGGATGGAGGAAGTTTTTTCGGAAATGAGAATAATTCTATTAGTGCTTGTAATGCTAATAAGGTAAATGGGCAATGTTCATATGTATATTGTATTGTACCCAGCACAGATCATGTCTGAGCCATGCAGGACCGACAAGAAAAATAGGCCTGACCCATAGACGGGAAATTTTAATGTTTTATTTCCTTTTTCTGCCACCGGATCGCGGGCGGGCTATGGTCAAAAAATCGAATTTGCGGGTCTCTAACCCTCTCTATCATAAAAATTTTATAATTATGGGCTCGGTCATGTAAAAAAAAAATTAGTGTTTTTGGCAGGGAAAATAATCAATTTATTGGTCTACTCAGAAAGTTTATTCGAATAAAGAAATTTAGGATATTTTATTGCCTTGGAAAAAAACCCATTAAATATATACATCTATAAACAATTTAAAAAAAAACATAAGTATAAATACTGTCCATCCTGCTCCAAGCGATTCCTGAAGCCGTCCGATCTCCTTCGTCACACTCGAGTGCACACGCATGAGAAGCCATACGTATGTGAACCCTGCGGTAGGCGATTCACCGTCAAATCTAGTCTTACCAACCATGCCAGATCCCAACATTTGCCCGCTTTCGTCGATGAAATGTGTGCTGACAGAGATAGTAATTACAAAATATATCATTTACCTATAGCAGATAAAATCACTTCACCAATGGTCTACTATTTATATAATTTTATTTTAAAATATCATAATAGGTTGAAAAGACATTAAGCGTCACTCCTAACATATTCTCTTATTGAATGACCACTATACTCTGTAATTTCTTTCACCCTTCTTTGGTGAGGCCATATTCCTCAATATTTACTTATATTTTCTCTACATTTTGCTTTTTATTAGGTCATGAGTGGAACGGAATTACCGTTCAAAAAAAATGAAAGCATTTTTTTGTAAATAAAGAATTGGTATAATTTATATGAAAAAAATTAGACGAATTGATTTGCAAAGTGTGCCACAAACGTTACAGCTCTCAGGGAAGTTTGAAAGTTCATTTTCGGCTTCATACAGGTTTATATTAGTTATTTTAAGTAATATGAAAGAATGAAAGAAAGAAACTGGTAAATAAATAAAATAAGGATTATATTCGTACGAATCCATAAAGAATGGCGTAGCAACAAAATGCTTAATTAGTTATTAATTTATTATTAGGCCTCAAACCTTTCGAATGCTCCATATGCTTAAAACGTTTTCGTACATCTGGACACAAAATAAGTCATTTATCATCCGCTCACAAAGATGTAAACTTAAATTTGCATAACACCATTATTAACGATCATCAATCAATAATCGAATCCATAAGTATTGAAAATAATATAAATATCGTGCCTACCTCAACTGTCTACGATGAGAATTTTCGCGAAAATTCAATAGTCCAAAGTCGCGACAAACCAGAAAATATTAATAGCTTTGATTCATTCGTTAAAACGCCGACATCCATAATTGCTTCCCCTTATCAACTTCCACGTGTCGAGACAACATTTTCTGACCTTGAGGTGGACCCTAATTTGGCGAAATCTTTAACCTCCGTCTTACATGATCTGGAGAAGAGGGAAGCGAGTAAGTTGGTTAGTGTTGAGAGGCCATATGAATGCGAGTATTGTGCTAGGGCCTTCAAAAAATTATCCCACTTGAAAGAACACATTAGATCTCACACTGGTATATTATTATTTTTTATACACATTATAAATGATTTTCTTATTGAAGTGTCGGGGTTTCAGTTATGGGTAGAATGGTAGGTGGCACGTCTCGATGAGATTTGGTATGCGTCATTTTAATTTATTAAAAGCAACTACAACACTTATATTTTAAATTTTATTTAAAAAAAAGAAAATAATTAATTATAAAAAATTTAAGCCTCAATTAAACTAATAAATTATATTTTTAAGTGCAAAAAATAATTATATTTTTAGTAAATTTTAAAACAAAAAATAAAGTATATCTTTAAGTATAAAAATTTATTCCTTATATAGGGAAAATAAAACGCACAATTATAAATTAAAATAAAATTGGTACAAAGTGAAAAAAGAACGTTTTTGCAAAAAGGTATTGTGTTAGTTTTATCTTACATAATTAGAATAAAACCTACCCCCTATACTTTCCGGAACTCTAATTATACCACTGGATGCAGGGCTAACTCCCGGACCTAAATATCTAACTTATATTTGCCGAACACCCTATTAAAGACTCCAAAAATAAGTAAAACCCCTAAGTAAAAAGAAAACACATAACCATATGTTAACCTTGAATATATTTAAATCAAAACAAAAGAAAACTTTATTTAATTTTTATGTATTTACGACAAAACAAAAAGAAGGGCAAAAGAAAAAACTTTATTTAATTTTTATGTATTGAAGACAACCAGAGAAGGATAAGAGCAAACTATTTTTAATCGAAGTTTATAACACTTATAATACTCTAAATATTCTTAATCATCACATAGGCGAAAAGCCCTACACCTGCCCGACGTGTAATAAGAGTTTCGCCTCCAACGGTATATTAAAAACCCATTCGAGAATGCACCAAGGCTTCAAATCCTATCAATGCCCTATTTGTTCATCGAAAAGCTCTCCCGGCTTTAATCGTAAGCGTTCTTCTTCGAATCGCACTCGAAGCTCTTCCTTTTCCTACGCCACGAAAGGAAGTCTAAAAAGACATATGGAAAAACATCACTACAATGAACCATACGAACATTTTTTTCTACCGGAATCGAATTCATCGATTTATAACATGATTGAACAAGATGGTAGGCAAAATCATATAAATAAAAGTCAGAATGTTGAAAAGATTGATTCGAATACTGAGAATAACGATATCATATGCATACAAGAATTGGCGGCGGATTATGATACTAGTAATAATATTGAATATGTCAACGCTGTTAATCATTTAAACAACCAAAAGACGGTAAAAGTAGGCACTAGCAGCTATTTTCTTACGGCAGGCGACGAGGATAATATTCATGAATGTATAAATAAAGTTGCTGCTAATGATAAATCGAATAAAGCAGATCACATATTATTATGTGCAAACAATATTCTCAAGGCAGACGATAATAATAAAATAAGTAATGCACTTTTTAATGATAGTTATGTTAGAAACAACGATATTTCTTATAAAGACTATAATAAAATGAATAAAGCAGACGATAATAACAAAATTAGAATAGTCGGTAATAATAAAAACGTCACTTGTCACAAAACAAACAATAAGAATATTAGTGATAGAGATTTGGAAAAGAATGACAATATTGACAAATTGAATAAAGCAGAAGATAGTAACGAAATTCTATTCCTGTGCTCCCTTTGTGGTCACGTTTTCAATTCCCGGACGATCGACGAGTTTGAATCCCATCTCAGGGAGCGACATCCATTAATCGCAAACGTTCAAGTCACGAATTTCGAAGGCGCCCATCATAGCGAAATGCATGGAGGACTAGCAGATGATAATAATGTCAATAGCAACAAAAAAATGTGCTACAGCATGGACGCGTACGCGAACTTGGATCTAGTGGAGGGGAGAGGTGATCTAATGGAAAGGTTATTTCGAATACAAATAAAAATCCTTGTTGAAAGATATTTATACCATTGTGAAAAAAATCAAAAAAAAAATCCACCTCTTTTCATAAAAAAAGTTTGTATTTGATTTGTAAAAATAAAGTTATTATTTCTTGAATCAGGCTTGTTTCTGGGTGATTGATTTCTTGTCAAATCGATAATTTCTAAACTCCCGACTTCTTTCAATTTAGATAGTTCTTTAAAGCATAAAAAAGAAGTTGAATATATTATAACTTTCCATCAGTACCACTTATAGATATCAGGGATCGATTATGCTTAATTCTGAGATGTGCCGTCGATACTTTAAAAAGTATCCGTTCCAAGTATAAGTATGGAAAGGTTGTTAAAAAAAAGTGGTACCTAGCTTAATGCAGCTGTGCAAATTGGCTTCTCTTATTCACATGGATAGTTATCATGGGTCTTTTAACCACGAATAATGTGGGGTTGGGTTGAAAAGTTATTGACTTAGCAAGGAATCACCCTCTTATTCATCTATCAGAACATCGACTTCAAATATATAGGAATTTTTTTATTACCAAAATAGCGACATGTAAGATGGCGTCTTTTGAAATTCCGTCATTATACATATAATAGATATGACATGGGCTTGTGTTAGTCTTTATATGAAATGGTTATGGTTAGCATTGTTGTGTAATAGCTAAAAAGTGGCTACTTCTGAACAGCTGAAGAAGATCCCGCAATTTAGGCTCGAGTTAAATTTATTTTAGCTTTCTTCAAAGTTCATTTTCCAAAAAACCCCTGGCGGAAGTGATAGTTTTGGCTTTAAACTAGGTTTAGCCGTTTTTTAGTCAGGTAGGAATCAGCAAAAAATATAGAAATTACTCAACTATAAAGGTTAGATTCAAAAGTGTTTGACCATTTTTAGCAATAACAAAATTAATATATTCACGAATATTATTTTAATTATATAATAATTGATGATTTTTTTTTTAAAAAATGATTTTTTATAATACAGTCAAACGATCGACGATACCTTAAATTTCGACAATCATCAAAATGAATACCACATGAAAGGACAAAATGCGAATACATTCGTTCCAAATGCGAGACCGCCAATAATGGGCATCCAGCTTCCACCGAATAATGTTAATAATTTATGAAATATGAATAATATTACCAAATTTATTTGATCGCATTAAGGAATCGGTCTCTGTAGGTTTCGATGTTTTGAGGACTAGCAGAAATTTGAAATTATTATTTTTTTCTTTTTTTTAAATTGTGTATTCTTTTTTAGGATACACATAAATTGCAGAATTTTCATCCAGTATCAGATGAAGTTGACGGAATAGTCGATACGAGTGACGGGCGATTTATGGTTACGACCAAGTATAAACCTCTCTTGCTAGACCGCGAGCAGATGCTAAAATTGGTGAATCTTTCTTCCACCCCTCAATCGTCTGTTTCCAATAATATAATACCTTCCACTTTTCCCGTACTGCAAACCGCGTCGTCTGCGTTCTCTATTGGGGAGGCATCGTCATCTTCGAACACTGTTATATCGTCCATGTTTCCCAGTGATAAAGATACTACCCAAATTCCTATCGAATTATTTTCTGATCTAGGAAATAATCGTGTTTTTTACCTCTCTAACTTGACTAATGATAACGTGGACTGCGATGATGGTGGTCATGATGGACAAGGAGGAATGGAAGAAGAATCTGTAATAATCGATATCAACGATATTGTCAAAAACACCGGAAAAATTCATTTTTTACGCGAGGATGAAGTTGAAATGGATAACGATTACGTCGCTCATAATGATGGTTTCGATATCGAGAATAACGACAATACGATAAATAATAAAAACGAAAATCGTCTGGAAGACGCCCAAAATAATCGTCTGCGTGTTTCGCAAAATCTATTACTTCAATCGGTCACGGAACTTTTTAAGAAGGGCGATAGGCCCAACATAAATCTGTACGTTGGCGACCTAGTAGAAGAGAACAATCAATCGATTGTTTCTGGGACGGCAATCGTAAACCAAGATAATATCTCTGAAAAGGGTGAATTGAATAAGAGTCAAAATTCCGCTACCGCTTCCTCGAAACACGCCCACACATGCTTGTATTGTCCCAAGAGCTTCAAAAAACCGAGCGATTTGGTGAGTTTGCTATATTGCGATTTTAAATTTTAATATATCGCATCGACTAGTTGTTCCCTATATTTTTTTTGGATTTAAATATAAAGAAGACAACAATCGCAAATAAAGCGGTTTTAAAAAGAATCCTTCAATACTCTGGTTGGTTGATGTGTGGAACCCGCTAATATGTTAAAATTCTTATTGCTCAAAAATGGCTAATTATTATCATTTTTAAATTTATCTTAAAAATATAAATCCCAAATTTTGGGTTCAGCCACGTTTTATGAAAGGCATGGGTGTATTAGGGTCCCACCAGAAGGAGATACATATTGTTTTTTTAAATTCTTTAATTTTCATACTTATTTTGAGGAATTAACATAAAAATGAATGGCTATTTTGTAAAGTTTGCGATTTGTTTAATCACATCAAAATGTCTCAGGAGCGTTGCGTTTTTTGTTCGCCGGAGTAGTAAAGTGGTAAAATTGTAATTCCTTCAATATCTGCATTTAAAAAAAATAATAATAAGGTACGTCATTTGCGTATTCACACGGGAGAAAAACCTTACTCTTGCGATGAATGCGATAAAAAATTTGCCGTTAAATCCACGCTCGACGCCCATCGGAAAACGCACGGAGGGGAAAAACAGTTCGAATGCCACATCTGCCGAACTTTCTTTTCCACTCGGGGAAGCTTGAAAGTGTGTATTCAATATTACTTGAAATATATATACCTGATTTATAACCATAATCAAGATGGCGATCAGCTGATTTTAATATAGTCCCATTTTAAATTTCATATTTAACATTATGATGATCAGTTCAGCCACTAGAAAAAATTCCATGTCATGGCTACATTATTATAATCCTTGAAATAAATACTCAGCAGTTTACGCTATTTTAATAAATAGTGTGATTTAGGCTTGGTTCCGAAATTCTAAAGTTTTTTGAGCTTATTCAACTAAAATGACCCCTTAAGATATTTTATTTAAAAAACATCATATTGAATTTATTTTATATATTTATTATTTAAAAAAGAATTGTATAAATAATATAATTTAAAATATTTTTAGAATTTTTAGCCTATTTATTTATAGAAATTGACAAAACGAATGTTTTTAATGCATCATCCATCGTTTCCATTTAAAATAATGATAATATCGATCATTAATAAAATATTCAATTCTAACTTTCATTCCTAAAAAAAGCTTTTATTTTAATGTGCAAATCTGCTATTTAAAGGAAGGTAGGAAGCCTGTTCATTTAAATGATAAATTTTAAAAATCCGATGGCTGGTCTTAAAAATAATAAAATTGCAAACACGAGCCGGGCCTGAAAATATTTTTTTAAAACCAAACCCGGGTTGTATCGGGTCGAATTAACTAAATTAATCATTAGGTACACATGAGGCTTCACACCGGTTCCAAGCCATTCAAATGCCCTATTTGCCCACTCTTCTTTCGCACCTCCGGCCATAGAAAGTCTCACATAATGTCGTCCCACCATGTTGACAAGCCTCCTAAATCTTCTACCGCCTCTTCAAACATGGCTAAAATCGACGAGGACCAAATAAGTAGAGTTTGCCTTCTTTAATTTGACCATTTAGTGGTTGTTTATTAATGGTTATTTTTTAGTTTTAATCTTTCATTTTCTAGATTTTCATCAGGGATTCAACCGAACCGAACCGTTAAGCCGGTACATCGATTCGTAACCTTAACCGAACCGATGTTCGTTTCAGTTCGGATCCCTGATTTTCTTGTCAATTTTGTAAAATAATCCATCTTTTTTTTTATCATTAACACTGAATTTCCTAATATTATATTATTTTTTTTATTGAAAAAAACTTAAAACCTTTTTACAACGAAAGATAAAACGAACAATTCCGCCTTAAAATCCCTAACACAGTTCCCCTTAGACCTTTTGCGAGAACGTCTTACGCTGTCCCAAAACGGTCTCCTCAATTCTAGTTCGACTAATCACCCTATCATCGATATGACCAATAATGATGATATCCATAATAATACCTACGATTTCAGTTTCGTTCAGAATGAAAACGAAAATAGTAATGATAGGATCAATGGTATCGCTTACTATTTTTCACACCAATCCAAACCCGAAGATCTATCCCTTATCTCAGATTCCCATTCTGTCTCTTCTCGTTCGCTCATCCCTCACGAGAAACCCGATTTCGTTTCGTTACTACAACCTATCATGGACGAGGACACTCAAGAATTGCAAGATTTGCGAGACGCACAGATAGGGACTCCTACCGTATTCGCGGATGATCAGCTGTTACATTCTTTCACGCTTTTGCCGGGTGATTCGTTGCTGACCAATGATAAAGTTATACCTTTTTTTTTCTTTCTTACTTTTATTATTTTGTTAAAAGAAATTTTTAAATGTTATTTTTAAAAAAAAATTAAATTGAACAGATTATTCGCACTTTAGACATAACCGCTTCCGACGAATTAGTCGATTTGAATTTCGTCAATAATTTATACACCACATCTCGCCTGTCTAACGCTCTTTCGTTTTCGTCATCACAGATTACTGCATCGATTCCTAAATAATTACTTTAAAAAAAAAAAATTCTTACTAAATTGTGATTGGATGGGGAATAGCATCAAAATAAAAATATTTAAAATTATTGCGCTGATTGTTTATTATGTTTGTATTTTTTTTTATATTTTTAAAAATAATATTTATTATTGCTATTTATTTATTAATTTTCATTGTTTCGAATCAATCATTTAAATTATTCGGTAAATTTTTACGCTAGATTATTTAATAAACTGCCTGTCGTGTTATTTGAATTGATGATAAACCCTATAAAATATTTAAAAAATAAATTATTTTGCTTGCATTTAGCTCTAACGGGGGCGGATTATTTTTCCTTCAAATTAGGCTGTAAATTTTTTTGCAATAATTATCCCCTTATTATCATATATAGATCTCGTATTGGGATATGGAGATCGCGTAAATCGGAATATCTTAATTTTAAATAATTTAAGGAGCTATTTTAAAATTTGAGAAGAATCTTATTTGATCTATAAATATTCATCAACAGATGAACAACCAATACCCATTCTACATAAAACAATGGTTGCAGATTCACCTGTCAGGATAGCCATTGGATTGTAAATTGATAATATATTTTTTTAATTTTCATCCTCACTTTAAAAATTCTTTCAATATTACCTAGAATGGAAAATATGTCCCATACCATATCTAAACCATAGTGCTCTTGTTAATCCATTAACGATTCAAAATCTGTAAATGGCCAATTTGCCTTTGCAAGATAATATGCTGTCTTAGCCTCTTATTTATATGTATAATAAAAAATATTTTTGACTGCTCATTTGTATTTGTGATTTACGACCTAAGAAATTTAATATTGCTTTAACTTATTTTCGATTTAATATTTACCCACAAAACCCTTATCAGGAATACATTTTTTTAGTTTCTAAATTACAAATATAAATATATAAAAATTCAGTTAAAATTGTTTTTTTTATTGTAAGCATAAATTAAATATACTTAAATATATACTTCATTAGCATATTTTATATAAATTATAAAAAATTTTAGAATGTAAATTTCTGAATCACACCTCATAAGATAGGAAAATTTCTGATTCATCTATCATCAGCTAAAAGGGAAAATTCTGATTCACCAGTCATTAGGGAGTGCTAAAAAGTACGATTTAGGTCTATTTAAGCGGACAGACTAAGATTGCCAGAATAAGAAAATGTAAGCTTAGAGATTTTGCTCATAGAACGCAGGAAGTTTGGATCTATATTTGACCAAACCCGAGGCTTCAATAATATTTTGTCTAAAATCTTAATCGGGTCGTTTTTAAAAATCCATTCAAATCGGGCTTTTTACCAAGACTACCCAGTCATTCTTGACGGGCTCTGCTCGAATTTTATAAAAATAACGAAAAATTTTCGTATCAGCTTTAATCAAAATAAAGGTAAATTTCTGACTCACACCTCATTAGATAGGCTAATCTGATTCATCCATCATCAATTATAGGAGAAATTTTTGATTTACCCCATCATCATATAAGAAATTTATGATTCTACTTTTGTCGGTTTATCTGTTGGTTTCATTAAAGATATCATCTCCCCCTTCCTACTTAAATTTGGTTTACTTTTAAATTAATATTTTTAATTTATTTAGAGAAAAACAAACATTATAGAAGCATTTAACGTATTTGGTGGATCCTATATGTAATACCTGATTAATACTTACTAATTCATCCATAAAACCAGTTATAATCTGATTTTATATTGGTATTCAAAGATCGAAAATACATTAAGGTTTCTTTTTCCCACATTCGAGATTTATGATTCTAATGATCTTTATAGATATTATTTGTACTTTTCGGGTTATTTAATAGATATTATATTTTGAATAGAGTTATATTTTCAAAAAATTATATATCAATCTGAATCATATTAAGACGCAGTCCTGATAAGCATGAAGTTTACCAAACTTTTCGAAATCAGTAATTCTAAAGCTTAGGTCAGGCAAAATACGAAAATTACAAAAATTCGAATCAAGATTTAAGATTTGAACGAAGAATATAGAAGTGCCTAAGCTATTATAATAAAAAAAATAAATGAAATACATAGAAAAAGAAATATTACTATCATCATTATCAACTTACCATACTTTCAAAATATAAGACTCGATAGGCTAACTCGGTATTTTAGTCAAAAATATATTAAACAAGCTTGGAAATTTTTGCCACAGATGACATAGAACATCGATTGGCGCAAAATTTTGTGGCTTAGATATTAGTATTTTGGCTAAAATCTAGATTTAGCCGTTTTTAGAAATGAGCGAAATTGAGCCGTTCAAACAACATTATATCTGACTTCAACTTATGTCACTCTTATAATTTAGTAGCGGTTAGCATAAGTCAAATAACTTGTGACATCCTTCGAAAATTTGACACCAAAAAATATGATGGATTGATTATAGGAAAATTTAAAACTATTACAATATCCAAATTTTTTAACTCAAGAAATACGGCTGAGCTATTTTTAAGTAAAGTAAATACTAAGAACGTTTTTACAATTAAAAATAAAAATTATCAAATGCCTACCCCATACAAATTGTAACCTCTCTGAGAATCCTTTCTTAAAAAATTCTTTTTTTTGTACATTATAATTTGTAACAAATTTTTTGACTATAAAAAATATAACGTGTGGTATATAGTTTTCGTTTATTCTTAGGATTTGGAGATTTTTTCGAGCACTTTTTTGAATAGAAGCAATTTCCGAGATTATTTTATTTAGAAAATTAAGGAGGGAGTTTTATAAATTTTAAAGAAATGAAAGCAAACTTTCGTCTAGATAATGAAAATAATTTTTTTTAGGTAATCATATTTTCCATGGGATGGGGGTTCAACTAGAGGGCTGCAACGAGCAGGTTTTAACCCAATCGCCCTTTGTTTCAAAATTTTTTAAACCGCTCGGCGCGCCCATGGTTTTTTTTAAAAAAAATTCATACACTCGCCAACCCATTTAACTAAACATTTTGCTTAAATCACCCATCCCATGTTTAAAAATTACTTTGATAGTTGGTTTGGCTCTTATATTTATATGTATTCAATGACATATAATAATAATATCTTGACGGACGATGCATTCATAATAATGCACTTGAAAGCGTCGTTGAATGGAAATCAGCTGGACCCGCCATTTTGATAATTCATATTGTAATTATTCTCATGTTAAAAACTACTATTAAATTGATTACATGCTCTTTAATAAAGTTTGCGTCAGACATAGGAATAAATTGGCTTCTCGTTTAAACATTTTTTAAAATAATGATATGGGTAATCAAAATGGCGTCCCCAGCTGTTATTGATGTACACTTTTAATGAATGCATCACCAGTCTAGGTTTTATTTTATTATATGTCATTGATTTACACTTGAATTTATTATGCAATATTACGAAGTAAAAAAAAAAGATTTTTGAAATTCATCCGCCTATCGCCCGCCCTTTGTTTTAAATATATATTTTAACCTTCACGTTCACCTGGCTAATGCTTAAAATCCTTTATAGAAAACCCCCTCAGTCACGCCCCTATTATGAACGGAAAACCTGCCATTTCAGAACCCTCTAACTTAGACGACAAATCCCACTCCCCATCCCCAATTGTTTACTCTCAAATGTGATATAGAATTATTCCATATCAATTACATTCTATCTCTAGCTAGTGTTGCTGAAAATCTCTATCTAATCTATTTTTCAAAAGAAAAAACATCTTAAAATTCAAAATATTAGTCCAAATAAATATATTACCATAAACTAAGAACTTTTACCAGAATAGACGCCAAAACATTCTTCTCACTTTTTAGTTAAATCTCAAGACCTTAGATAATATTACTTAGGCTAAAATCTTGAACTATCCTTTCCGCTATTAAAAACCGGCTGCTATTTAAAATTTACAATATTTATTTGATTTTATATTTATATTTATATATTTTTATCGTTTTCTCTATCTTTTTATCATATATCATTAATCAGTTTTAATAAAAAATGAAATATTTTCTAGGCCATTTAAAACCTAAACGGGTTTAGATTTTCCAATTTTTGGATTTCATTTAAAAAAATAAAAATAATTTTTTTTAAAGATTTTATCTTATAAATAATTTAGCAAAGACGGATATATTTAAGGTTATTCGAGTGTAATATAATGACAGATCATCCATAAAAGATTAAAAATTTTATTTTTTTGGATAAATTTTCCTTCATTTTATTTTATTATATTTATAAATTGTATATATATATATATATATTATTTGGAAATTTGGTGATAAAGAAATTATTTGTGTTTGATCAAATGGTGTGAATAATATAAAAAATTAATGGAGTGTTAAAGACCTCGTGACATAAAAAAAAATTCCTCTTTTTTAAAGTTACACAATACAAGTTATTTGTTGTTACGATGCCATGATCATATTATATAAAAATATTTTCAAATAATGTTGATGATTATTATTATTATATTACAATATATTTTTAGTCAATAATTTGGTTTTCAAAATATTATAAGTAATTATTAATGTTTTTATATATCATTTAAAAAAAAAAAAGAAAAGTTGTCATAATAAATTGCTAGAAAAAAATTATTTCTTTAAATAATATAGATAGAATATCATTGAGAGGATTTACCATATTATATATACATTTATAAATGTTGAGTACACTAGTATCGGATATTAAAGATGGATTACATCATTTTTGCAGAAAATATTTTCCGCGGGTAAAATTGAAGCAACCAAAATCATCAAACTTGATTCATAATCTTATTTTGATCCTCAATTTTTTTTACAAACGATTCCTGGAGTTTTTTGTTAAAAATAATAATCGTGACATAGGATCAAACTCCAACAAGTCTACACTCAAAAAGCAGAAAAAACATACTACTTTTATAAATAGTGGGTCTGAAGGATTGACCAATAGAAGACATTCTTTTAAATGCAGGATCAAGCCTAAGATCAATGTAAGACACTATTCTTTGGCGGACGAAGAGAGGCGGGTAGGCGAAGAGGATGATAATTTGTTTAACGAGGAGGAAATGAAGGATATAGATAAAATGTGGAAACAAGGCAAGTCTGATGTATTGAATTACAGTGGAAATTTTGAGTCGATTGAGGACACTAGCGAATCTAATGAAGCAAGAACGCCAATGACATATAAAGAATGTTTAAGGATATTGAACACAGATTCAAAGGCCCTCTATAATTCTCTAGTAGACCTAATTTCTATAAAAGCGAATTCTGAATCGGAGGATCAAGAAGAAATTGCAAAATTCATCGAAACATGCGTAGGTAATTTAAACAGTAGACTGATGTTGGATAAATTTTACTACAGAGCCTGGAATATTTTAAAAATCATTTTCTGGATCATTGTTTTAGCGATATCGTGGAAACGTTCCTCTACTCTTAGGAAGTTAAGCGTCTCACTTCTCAGGCGCGGTCAAATTCAAGTATACTTATACAAAAATATTAAAAAAATGGTACCTCAGTATAATAACTATAGAGTTTAGTCTGAATTTTTATACGACGGGTTTTAAAATTTGATAGAATTTATAATTAATCTAACATGATTGTTTCAAAAAGGTAACATAATTAATATTGAAAAGATTAAAAAAATAAACTCATTTAAAAAATGCAGTTGTTTAATTGTGCCACACCTTCCATTCTTAATTGAGCCTTTAAAGGGAAAGCATCAAAATAAAAAATTTTGGTCATTTTTTTTAATCTAGCTAATAACAGTGATTACAAATGTATTGCATGAATATTTTTTTTTAATCCAGTGAATATCCTTTTTTTTCCCCTTTATAATATAAATATATTTTCATCACGATGCCGATTATCAAAAGATGTTGCCTTATTGGGATTGGACGTCTTTATATTATGAGACCTGCGTTATCAAAAATCCTTATTACCTCCAAGAATCACTAAGGGATGACGATTGCCAGGTACATAGAGTAGCAACCTTTATTAATAATTTGTTTTTTTTAAAGTTATTAATTAGATATCCTTGAAAAAGTTTTACTTAGTATAAATCTAATCTCGAAAAGCCAATCTTAGGTTATTAAACTTTGAACATTTAGAAGGAGTGAGAGAATTGTATAGAAAATTTTGATGAGCATTCTTTATAGGATTTTGGGCAAGGGGGGGGGTGCAGGGGCAGACCATGACGAAATGTCAAGATTAACAGATGGACATTTTTATATATACCCCTTTTTTTGTAAGTAAATATCATTTCAAAGTCCCTAATAATATCACTCCTAATTAAAATTTAAAAAATATATAACTATCCCAGATGGCGAACACTTTTATAGATATTTATTTTATTTTAACCCGCAATACGCACAACAAGGCATGCATGGAAATACAAGACATTCCCAAGTTATTTAACGTATCGAGCCAGGAGATAAGCGATAAATTTATGAAAACCGACACGCCTTTTATAATCACGGACTCTTCGTTGCGATCATATTGGCCGATTTTCAAAGATGGCTCCCAATTCAAAATTTCTACCCTATTCGACCTTAACAAGGTAATTACCATCTCCATCTCTCCTTTAAAAAAAAATAAGAATGTTAAATTTTTTTTTTAAACTGAAAAAAATAGATTAATATTAATAGCTATCCAAAGTAAAGCTATGGTTAAAAAAATACCCACTACATTGAAACAAATTTATTTAAAAAAAGGCTTATTAATTTTGTCACTAAATCTTGAGACTTCCCTAAAAGAAGGCTCCATATTTAATAAAATTGAAGCTCAAATATTTTAAAAATTGACTAAATCGAACTTAAGTTGAGTAATTCCTCTATATTTTTTAAAAATCAGTTTTAGCATAAAAGTCAGCTAAAAAAACAAAGAAATTTTGTTTTTTAACCAAGAATCATCAATTTAAGCCTTGAGTTTATATTTAAAATAAATATTCACAGTCACACCTTCAAGGGTTGGGGGAAGGCTCTTTAACACCCACCGCTTTGCGATTTTTAGTTATTACCCAACGAAAAGAAGGTAGGTACTATCAAATAATACTGAAACCAGTTATGATAGTGATTTTCCGTAAAGCGTTCATGATAAAATGGAATTGATTATCAATATTATTGCGATTTGAGTAACGCATAAAGGAGCAAAAATATATATTTGTGATTATGACCATCACCTGAGCCTAATAATTCTTCCTCTTGTGCTACCATATTAGCGATTTAGCATATTATGCATATAATATATTTATTTTTTTTAGAAATTGGGAATTAGTAGGTTTAATCAATGATCGAATATATAAGTAATTTTATAATGTAAAAGCAAATCAATAATATAAATGTCTTCATAATGTCACATAAATTTTAGTATAGATATATTTTTATAGATATTTTATTGGGTATTCTCGAAGATGCTTTGTTTTGGAAGAAGTTCAATTTAAAGACTCCTATATTAATTTAACTTAATACTATCTTAATTATTTGCGTATGTGATATCTTCATCTGGAATCGCATTTTCCCACAAAATCAATTAATTTTTTCAAATTTACCAAAAGCGATCTCAACAAAATTATTCTATGATTTTGTCCAATAACGTGTACCAGCCTGAATTATATTTATCCTATAATTTCTAACATTTATTAGGTTTTAGGTTTTACTAGTGTTGTTAAAAGGCTTGATTTGAGCCTTTTAAACGGCTGACTCAAAATTTTAGCCAGAAAAATATTGCACAAGCCTCGAGATTTGACTGATAGACGTCAAAAACTTTTCTAAGCATCTATAACCTAAATCTTCAGACCTGCGTGATATTTTTCTGGTTTAAACACTGAGATAGCAGCATTTAACAACACTATTACATTTTTAATATTATTATTTATAGTTTGACTTATTGTAACGTAAATGTATAATTCGAAAACGAAATTAATTATTTTGAAAGTTTTACAATGACCACCAGGACCTCCGATATTCTTACCCCTGCGCGTTAACTTCTAATCACAGGAAAAAGTATTCGGGTTCAAAAAGCCTAAGACATAAGTTACTATCTGGAAGTGTCTCCAAATTTTACGCTTATTGGTTAGTTCTTCTTTTTAATTAGTTTAAATTGTAAAGTTACCAATATTATTTTAATAAGTTAGTTAAATTTCCAAAAATTAATAAGTCAAGTTCTGTTCAATTTTCCCACGAAATATAAGTTATTTAAGTTCCCCAAAATAATAAGTCAGGTTATATATTTTTTTTCCAAAATCACGAAATTTAAACATTATATAAAATTCTTACCATAAAAATACCAGTGCGATATATAATATTTTAAATTAATTTAAAAAAATAAACATAATAATGATATAATATATATATATGTTAGCGTTAGAGTCAATGTGTTTTTTCGGTAATGTATTTTTTTTTTCAACTAAAATAAATATTGAAAAATAGGGAAAATTGTGAAAAACGTGCCGCAAAGACTTTCAGAAAACTTTACAAGAGACCCTATTTTCTACCGGGCATGGCCGAAATCGCTACTCCAAATTGGGTCTTCATCAGCAAATCTTTCATTGGGAACAAATATTTTAACGTAAATGAAATAATTTATCTCTAGAAACCTTTTAAAGGATTAGATTCGATATGGATTTAAAATAGAGAATTCATTTATATAGAGGTATTTTAAAGTCAATTCCACCCCATTTGAAATAAACTGGAACTAATTTTAAATGTTTATTATTATTATTATTGTTATAAAATAAGTTATCTCAAAAGTTTTTCAAGATTTTTTTCTTCTATAAAATATAATCATGATTTTTTAAAAGCTTATTTTAATAAGGATTTAATAGAAGCAGTGAAATTTATAATCGGACAAGTTTCTTATATAAAAAAGAGAGAAATAAAAGTACAAATTGTTCCTTTTTTAACATATCATATAGGAGTAACTAGGGGTTGACCTGCATCGGGCCTAATTATACAAATTCTTTTCAAAAATGTTTTGCTGGCCTGGCCCGAACCCGAAATTTATTTTTAAAAAATTTACCGGCCCGGCCCAAATTTATTTAAATATAGAAATTAATTTTTATAATTACTAAAAATAAAAGACACATGTTATATGGCGTTTAGTTTCAATAAATTAAATCAAAAATTTTATATTTTACATAAAAAATTCAATATAAAATTGATAAATTTAGATATATTTAAAAAAAATTTCCAAAGTCCTACCCGACCCGGCTCGAAATTTTTTTTTTTAAAATATCCCGGCCTGGCCAGAATTTGATTATTTTAAATAGAAATAGGCCAGAGGCCCGAACGGGTTGACATAGCCGGATTTATAACTATATTCCATTTGAGCACAAAATCTTAATTCTAACATTTACAAAAAATTTCTGTTTGGGGAATGGTCAGAACAGGGTTCGGTTGATCTTGACTATGTAGAAGATAAAATTACATTATATTTTTGGCAATGAGGTCTGATATCAAAAAGTATGAATGCCCATAAATTCTTTTTAAAAGCTAGAACCCATTTTTGTGTGAGTTGCGTAATGGCTAACCTCGTGCTAATTCGGCTCTATCTTAAGACGCCTGTCGGAGAAAATTTGTTAACATTAAGGCGTTTTAATTTTATATTCGTTTTTTTCAAATTTGGCGCTGGTATCTTTTTAAGAAAGAACCCCGAGGCCATAGTGATAGTTTTCGGCCAAGGAACATAAATTAGCACAATTTAAAGTTTAAAAATATAGTAATTACTCAACTATACTATTCATTACTCATGAATTTGCGGCGAAATATTGGGGAAATTATATTTAAGATTGTGATAAATGAATTTGCAATGAAATACTTACAGACTATTTGGAAATTATTTTATATATTTTTTAAAAAATATTTAAATTAGATTCCTATAGAGGCTACCAGTGTCGGGTTTGCTCAAATAATCGGCGAGTCTAATATATTGATTAAACCTAAGAGACCTTGTGATAGTTTCTGTTCGAAATTAACGGATACGTTGTACCCTGGTGAAATAAGTATGTTACAAGGATATCATTTCTTCAAATAGTGTTGTTAAACTGCTCGATTTGTTTCGATTTTTAAAGACGCCTAACTCAATATTTTATCTAGAAAAATAATAGGCAAGTCTAAAGATTTCGCCATAGGTGGTACTAAGATTTAAACATCGATTAACACAATCTCGAGGATTTAAGCATTATTTTTCTGGCCAAAATAATGAGTTAGCGGGTTTTTAAAATCGGCTCAAATCGATTCAAAAAAACAAAAAATTATTAATGGAATTCAAAATTCCACATTTTCAAAAATAAAAGAGCAAAGAGGCATTTTTAAGGAAAACTGGGTAATTTTGATAAAAATTGACCTTTAAAATTGTCATAGTACAAAAATGAGAAAAATAATAATATAAATTTTTAGCTCTCTTTGTGTACATGACCTGCCCCTCACTTTCGGATGCATTTTGGAAATTTAGTAATTAATTACTTATCAATATTAAATAAATATTAGAAGTCCAGCCATGGTTCCCAAATTAAAATTTTATCAAATTATTAGTTGCTAAACCAGAAATATTTTAAATCAACTGAATTAATTTTTTGGAATTTTTGGCTTTTTGAAGACCCCTCTCCCCTCCCCCCCCACCCTTTCTTAGTATAGAGTTGATGGCTAAAAAATAGAAAATATTTGAAAAATATCTATATTAATGGTGTTAAATGCCTCGATTTAAGCCGATTCTTAAAAACGACTAACTATATTTTAGACAGAAAATATTGTCTGAGCGTCGAGATTAGCTAATAGATGTTCAAAACCTTTGTTCTATCTATTAGCAAAATCTTCAGGCTTGCTTGATATTTCCCTAGATTGAGACAGCCGTTTTTAAAATTGGATCAAATCGAGACGTTTAACAACACTAATCTATATGTAATAGAGAGGATTCACTTTATTTCTTTAATATTGTTTTAAAAATTATTGTTGGAGAAGGCCAGTATGGATTAGACCTACATTGCAAGAAGGCAATAAAATTTTCTTGGTTTATTTTGCTAATCATTCTTTTACAAATAATTAAATGGGATATATGCTAAAGAAAATTCAGAAAATATAGGAAGAAGCGTAATTTCACTTTTATTTCTTTACGAGAATTTGGGACTAAGGTCAACTTTGATGGGCCTTAAATTGGAACTGTTCGGGTGTTTTTGTTATTTTCACCTTATCTTATGAAATTGCGAAGTGAAAGGGTAGTATCAAGTCATTATGAATAGGGGAGACCAGGGTTAAATTGTCCGTAAAGAAGTGCTATAAAAAATAGATGAAGCAAATTTTCGAAAATATCAAAAATTTGTTTTTATATTCTTGGAAATTAATATTTGAGAAATAAATCTTTCAGTTTTTTTTATTAGTATAAAATTTAGAAAAATAAAAATTACCCCGGGTTCCTTTTATCCTTTAGCGGTGCGTGTTATATAGCGTCTTTATTTTTAGATTTTTTAATATATGTATATATAAATGTTAGTGCTATAAGTAAATAAATGAAAATAAATTGTCAAATATGTTAAATTTATCAGGTTCATATTATATATCACCCATATCTTGTTGTCACATAAAACTGTCATAAAATTTATAAGTCAATAATCTTCATATTGTCATACGTAACTCCATACAAATTCTATAAATATAGTTGGATTTTTTTTTATTCATATTAAATTACTTAAAAATGGCTATTACGCGCCCAGCCGCTAATCTCCTCAACGCCTTTACAATTAATTAAAATTTAATTTCAAGATATTAAAATTAACATAAACATTGTCAGTATTTTGATATATGATAAAATATTTAATTTTATTAATTTCATATTTTATTGTACATGGATATATAAAATAATTTATTAAATCTGCTAGAATTGTAAATCTATATAGAAATAAAATTAATATTAAAATTAACATATCAAATATAAAATAAAACAATATTATATAAAAACGGAGGTGGGACTACAAGTTCCCAAAAAACATGAGTAATTATTAGTGAAGGTCAACGGTCCGGTCCTATCGGTCTTAGACCGGGATCGGACCGGACCGATTGTCGGACCGATCTTTTTCTTGAGGACCGTGGTCCGGACCGGTCTTTTATTATTGTTTAAGTTTGCTTTACTATACAATTAATATAATTTTTTTGAATATTTTATTTTATGATATTTTTCTAGAGGAGTCATTTTAGATTTTGTTAATTATTTTACAATATGAAAACCATAAGTTTGTCCAAAAAACATTTTACTTATAGTCCCAATAAAAACATAGAGTATGTGTTCACTGCAGTACCAAATTTAATGTATCGTCAGCACCTAGTAATTGTTTATAATTTTTTAAGCAATAAATTAATCAAAATAAGCAATAATATTATTAAAATATTTTAGTTATTATATAGTTCTATTTTTTTTAAAGAAACTGTCTGTATAATTTATTGTAAAAATTACTTAACCTTATTCTTAATAAAATAATTAGGTACCTTAAGCAGACATCTGATAAAACATAAAATATATACTTCTAATGATGAAAATGAAAATATCTTAAAAAACACAATCTACTCTTAATTTTAATATGCCCTCTACAAGCACAAAATCATTTTTTTCAATACCATTGGATAAATTTTATTGTTTATATAATACTCTTATATTTAATAAAATGATAAAACAAATCAAATTAGGTTAAAAAAATATGTTTTTTAAACAAATAAAAAGACCGGTCCAGGACCGGTCTTTTTATTTAGGACCACGGTCTGGATCGATCTTTTTCTTAAGGACCGTGGTCCGGTCCGGTCCAAGGGTATCGGTCCAGTCCGGACCAAAGACCGGACCGTGACCTTCACTAGTAATTATATTTTAGAATAGTGATTTGTAGGTTTTGTTTTAAAAAATAGAATTCTTTTGGTTCTGATGTTAGGGCTCTTGTCTTATCGCCTATATTTTTTAGGAACTTTAAAGTTCCGCTTGGCATATGTCCAAGGGAAGAGATATCGGTGTAAAAATATAATTTGTGAATTTGGAATATTTCATTGTTTTTTTTTCTCGGCTATATCAACCGGATTAGAATTTAAATTTTTTGGGAAAGAAGATACGCATGTGAAGTCCCAAATTAAGGGTTTCTCTAAAGACCAAGGCACGGAAGTTAAGCCATATGGTCTTAAGCCATCATCTAATGATAAATTTGTAGGCTCCAGGATGTTTGGTATTCGGGCCCTGGTAAAAGAACGGCTAATATCTAAATTAATTGCTGCATGCCTTGACTATATATACAATTTAGACCATGTCTCCCTTTAGAGTCAACTAATATTTTACATTTGATGCATGTATGTGGTTGAACAATGTTACATCCAAGTCGATGGCCTATGGCAACTCTTAAATGCTTCCAACCATTCATAACCACAAGTACAGTCAGCATTCTGTAATAGTTGAATATACTTCAAAGGGGGGTTTGATGAGATTATTTTAAAAATTTTTTTAATTAAAGGTTCGAAAATAGATTGGTGTGTTAAGATTGTGGGTAAAACATCTTCAGGTGGAGCTAAAGATACCCAGGCTGTCAAGGCTGAGTTTAAAAGGTTATCTTTAGGAGATATAAAAGAAGATATCATGGCGTTATTCATCAAACGCGGAAATAGATATAAGATTTAAAGGATATAAACCTAAACAACCCATTTTCGAGAGTAATTGTGAGAAACCCCAATTAAAATCTTCCAATTTAATATTTAAAATATTTTCTAATAAACTTCTAAAAAATTTATGAACACGATTAATAATTTCATTATTTAAAAAAAAGGAAGAAGATCTAAAAATATGTAAAATCTTTGGTAAAAATAAATATTTTTTTAAAAGAAAGAAGCTCTGGTGTGAAGGAATTTCTTTTAAAATAGTTTCAAGTCCTAATAAGCCTTCGAAAAATTTTTCCACGAACACCTCACAGTTGTAAAAACTGCTTAAAGGTGAACCTAGAAGATTAATTTCACGTTTTTTAATGATTTTAAACCCTTGAACTTCGAGAGTATTTGAATTTAAAAAGCATATTTCAGATTTAGCTTTATTTAGAGTAAGGCCTATGTTTAGAGAATTCTTCTCTATATATTCTATCGCCAAGAATATTTTTAGAAGGTCCGCAAATGGTACCATCATCTAGATACCATATGTTTAAATCTAAATTAAAAAAGGATTTTAGACAATCTAGGTTATGTATACCTAAACTAAAGATCAGAGGGCCCAAAGGGTCTCCTTGTTGAATACCTTCGTCAGATGGAATTGTATATTCCCCGAATTTGAGAGGGGCTCTACAGCCATAAGACTGTTCAATAAATCTTGCATAAACTGGGAATTTTTAATAAAAAATGTTCAAAAATGCTTTTCTGGATAAAGATTTAAAAGCATTTTTAAAATCAAGCTTACAGACTATGGCGTCTGGAGGAGGATCTTCGATATATATGCGAAGAGAGTGAGCGGCTATTTCGCATCCCCCTTTAGTACCAAAGCCTAGTTGATATGTTTGGAACATTTTTGAAGCATCAGGTTTGATGCGCTCAACGATTATCTTAGCTATTAGTCTCTATAATCATTTTATAATATAAAATTAATTTTGTAAAAATGTAAAAAATTAAAAAAGTTTCGACGCGTTAAAATTTAATTTTGCATTTAAAACTTTTCAAGTGGATACATGTGTAAAGTATTTTAGAACCATTGAAGTATCTTATCAAAATACATTTATGGTTTAAAAGATCAAATATCAATGTTTGTTAGTTTTAAAATCATTCTAGAAAAAATTACCTTCCCCGGGACAAAACTACTCCATGTCCCCTATAATTGTTATTGAATGTTTGCGCATCGCACACAACCTTTCTAGTTTCAAGGTGAGGCAGCAGTCAGATTTTACGCATACACCAGCAGATTAAATTTAGGAGAATAAAATTATTTGATCATATCTAGACAACTTTTAAGTAGTAACTTAGATTATCGAAGGTTTTTGTTTGAAAAGTAATGATAATGATGATCATTTCTAATAACGATTTCTCAGGTTTACTAAGGTTGGGGGGGGGGGTGGGTAGTTCACGGTTGACCATAAATAAATTGTCTAGAGAAATCCAGGAGCTCTCATGGCTCAATAATGGGTCTCTTAATTTTTCTACTCATTTAACATAATGCTTTTCAGATGGTAACAAAAGATGGCGTCTACTTTTTTAAATTTATAATTAAGGATCCCATTTTAAAATCTGGCCATGGCCAATGACGTATATTAACATCTAGCCTGGCGATTCATTCATTTAAATGTGTATCAACACAAGTCCGCCATTTTGGTTTCGCATTTTAAACCGTTAAAAATCGGAGTTATTCATAGCTAGAAAAAGTAAAAATAAAATGGGGTATCACCAGCTAATAAATAAATTATTAGTCTAAATAAGTGTTATATATCATCGACCCTGGCACAGAAATACTTAGTTTAAATTTATGTTCTAACTTATAAATATTTGTAAGAAATGCTTTGGGAGTGGTTGACAGTCATTTAATTTACAAATTAATGGGTCACCTCTCATATTTTTGAATATAATTACTAACTGTTTCTAAAGAAGGACATTATTTGACAAAAGCTATAAATATTATTCGAATTATATTTTTTTAAGTTGTTTGGAACGATTACCTTTGGAACGCCTACTATTCGCCAGTCGATTATCGGAACCTTTCGGCGTTTTACGATCTCGACGAAACGCTTGCCATCGGAATGGGAATATACTGGAACAAATAATTATCACAATCTCTTCCAATTATGAATTTTCAAGACTCATCCCTAAATTTACTCTTAAAAAAAACGATTTATTAGTCATAAATTATGTTACTCTGATAATTTTTTCAAGCGTGAAAAATAAAAACTGCTGACAATTATTTTAATATTTGTTATAGTAAAAAAAAAGTAGCTTATTAATAATCTATGTATTATTCGTGTTTGTAAACAAATAATCTAGTCATTTTCATTTATAAATGTTTTCATATTGAAAATTTGACCTTCAAAAATTGCTTTTAAAGTGTGGATAGGAATTAATGTAGAAGAAAACGAGAAATATAACCTATAGATAGGTAGTTTTAAGTGACGTATTTAGAGGGTCATTTTTGAAACCTTATTTTAATTTATAAATTGAATTTTTATTATATTAAATATTTTATATGATTTATTTGTATATGAATTGATTTATTATGTGATTAATTAAAGTTAGTATATCATTATTTCAGTAAAAAAATATATTATAAATAGTTTCTATATTTGATACCCGTCATAATCAATATTTTGTGTTTAAAATATGTGAAGACTAGTTAGCTTCTCTAAATAGTTTTCCTTTTAAGGATGCTAAAAACGGTAACTAGTTATTTTTCGAATGTGAGTTTTAACAACATTCATTCAAATATTAAAAAGTGTTATTACACATTTAAGTCGGCCATTGAGAGACATTTAGATGAGATATGACGGGCAAAACGATATGTGACTTGCGTACGACATGTCTTTCAACGGAGTCTAACTATATGCTTTTAATAAAATGATTCGTTATCCGTTAGTATCAATGTAATTGGCCCTAACCTGATAACTAGATTGAACATAAACATTTTTGGTATTGCTGCATTTATAGTAAAAGCGTTATCTTCGAGCGTTGCGTTATTTAACGCAACGTTATCATAGCTGATTAAGTTTAAAAATAAATTAAGCTAAAGCTTAAATAGCGATAAAATATTTTAGAAAACTCATGAGCCTTTTTATCGAATTTGCCATTATTTGTATAATCATATCGCATATTTTTTTATCAACGTACATCACAACTTATGTTTTTCAAATTTTATCATAGCGTTATAATTACAACGCTTAATATTATTAAATTTATATTTAGCTTCATTTTGTTATGATACTGCGTTAAATAAAGCAACGCTTGAACACAACGCGTTTAATATAAATGAGGCCTTAGAAATCGATTTTTAAACATTAATTAATGGCCTAAGCGTATAATTTATATCTTACTTTTTTACCCTAGATAAATATTGAAGTACTGAAAAAAAGGAAGAGCGTAATTGCAAGCACAATAAATCTTAAGACCGGAAAGTCGAAGGACATAGAGATGAACAATTTCAAGAAGGTAAATATTATAATAACCAGTGTCTCATTTTTTTAAAATATACTATTCAGTGGCGTAACTAGGAATTTTCCTTAGAGGGGGTCCATACATATAAAATCCTGGGGGCTTCGCCCCCAGACCCCTTTAACGGTCCTTTGGCCCTTTTGCTCGGCCTTCGGCCGGGTTTATCTTAAAAATCATAACCACATCTTCGACAATATATATAAATATTTTTAAATGCATGAATAATGTTATTATAATTTAGTAGATTATTCTCAATGACTTTATAATAATACTACCCATAATAAATTCAATAGTAATATAATATCCTTTCACAAACATCAAAACCAGAAAAATATAAATATTAATTGTATTTAACAAAGTCACTTTTAAGTCTTTTGAACGTATAATCTAAAAAAAAATTTGCTCTGGGAGGGGTCCAAACCCGAAAACCACCCTCGTAGCTACGCCACTGATACTATTATATATTGCAAGCAAGGCTACCTTCACCAATTTTGAAGTTGTCAGAAATTTGTGGGGTTAGCTATTTTATGTTTGCTAGATACATTTCCCGCAAAATTGGATTTTTTTTTTAAATTTAAATTTTAAAAATGCTAATAGAATCAATTATTGTACTCTTCTTTTTTAAATTAAAAAACAATCTGTTGGCGGAAATGTCGATTAAATATAGATTACCTATCCCTTAATATTACAATTTACCGTGAATGAAATTATTGTTTTAAAAATGTTAAGTATTCTCGTATAAATGCAAATCGATTATGTAAAAATGATCGTATATATGTGATTAAAAATCCCTTTTATAATCCGTATAATCATATATTATATTGGTTAATTGCTCGTCGAGAGTTTTATTAAATCAAATGATGAACATACTTTCACTCTATTAAAAGAATTGCATCCTCAGGCTTTCGATGAAGATCTAACCACTCCTTTAAAATCCAATTTATTCAAAATTGCCAAGGAACATCTTATTATAACAGTTTATTATTTAATAAAAACTCAGCGGGAGGGGGGGGGATTGACTGTTTTCGACCCACTTATTTCCCATTTTTAATTAACCCTAAAAGTCTTATTCATGATTCAATTTTCGCTCTTTTACTCATAGTTTTTACATAGCAAGAACCTTTAATTATAAAATTTTTAAAATACTCTTATCAAACCCCTCTTTGGAATATATTTGATCATCGCAAAATGCTGAGTGTATTATTGGTTATAAAAGTTGGAAGCATTATCAAGTCGTAACCAAGGAAACCTCTTATCAGATGAATAATCAAGGCCATAAGCCATGCATAAAATGTAAAATATTAGTTGATTCCAATAGGAAACATGGTTGTATATATAGTCAAGGCGACATGCAAGGCACACAGCGATCAATTTGGTTAATAGCCGTTCTCTTACGAGGGTCCGAATAACATCCTGGAGCCTGCTAATTTATCATTAGATTATGGCCTAAGGCCAGATGATTTAATTTTGTATCTTGGTCTTTAGGTAAATCTTTAATTTAGAACTTCATATGGGTTTCTTAAATTCCAAAAAATGTAAATTTTAACCAGGTTGATATATTCGAACAATTTAATATTTAAAGTTATCAAATTATACATTTTTTTTTTACTACCTCTTCTCTAAGACATATGTCAAGCGGAAATTTGAGATTTTTTTAAAAGGTAAAATGTCCTTACATCAGAGCCTAAAGAGTATTTTATTTTAAACAAAATATTCAGATTGCCATTTTAAAATATAATTATTCATGTTCTTTGGGGAACTTGTAGTCTGACTTCTCTTTTTATAGAATGAGTTTTATGTGATTGTAAAAGTTAGTAAAATCATAAGGAATAAATCCGTGTAAGAGCTGACCCAATAATTTCATCTCTTGAATTAGGGCGGGGGTTTATTGCTCGATATTTATTTTTCAAGACTCAAAAAAAATATGGGATTTAGCTGAGGTAAATATGGTGGTAGATATTCAATCCTATCTTATATGCATCGATAAGATGGCCTCTATGGATAGTTGCATTATCCATTACAATAATTACATCTGGTGGTAAGACACTGATAAGCTCTGTCATAAAATCACGGAATAACCACCCATTATAAGCTCGTTCGATTATTTTATAATGGATTACCCCTCCAATTCCAATGGACAAAGTATGCTTACATTTTTACCCTTAGAGGATGGAATTTTTATTATTTGACGGACATTGTATGGTGCCCAGGCGTAGATTGGTACAACCTGCAAGTTTATTCCAGTTTCATCTAAAAATATAATTTTCCTCTTGGGGTATTTAGAATCTTTACACAATATATTTGTCGAATATTGAATGCCCCAGGAGTATTTCTTCTATCAGGCTTCTTGTCAGCTCTTTTTTTTCGACCAACCTATATTTTTTATATATTTGCTAATTGTTATTTTCGTTTTTAGACTACCAGGAGGTAAATTTTCTATTATCTGCTGGTAGTGTTGTTAAACAGCTGGTTTTGAGCCGATTATTAAAAACGGCTAACTCATATTTAACCGAGAATAATATTCGCAAGATCTGAAGATTTTGTTTGTAGAAGGAACTAAAATTTAGACATCTATTAGCGAAATCTTGGGGCTTAGGAAATGTTTTTCTGGCTAAAATATTGAGTTAGCCGTTTTTAAAAATCGGCTTAAATCGAGCCGTTTAACAACAGCTGGATAGTAAGAGTATTACTATCCATCAATAAATTCATGATGCGTTTTTCAATTATGGAAGTATCTTTTTTTTACTTCCTCTTTTTCAAATATTATATTCTTTTAAGGGATCTCCGTTTATATCTGGGAATGTGTCCCGTCTAAATTTATGAACTGATGCTGTAGACATTTCGACGTATTTTGCAATGTCTTTAATTTTCATCTGTTCTCTTTCAGGCATTGATAACATTTTAGTAACTATATCTATTTTTTCTTTATTATATTTGTGTATTCTTTTTGGTCTTTGAATTCTCGACGAAGATTGGAGTTTTCATTTAAATTGGAAAAATTAATAGGATAATAAAGATTCTATATACATTTTTTTTTATTATTTAAGAAAAATTAAAAAAATTTCCAACACATTTCTTTTCAACGATTAATCTTGTTAATTAATTACTTGTTCATATTTAATTTCAATATGTATTAAATTAAAATAAAACTTTATTATATTTACCCCTTTTTATTGTTAGTTGATTTTTAACAAATTTTTTTAAAAAAATAACACATTACCGGATAAAAACACAATGACGCGCTAACATATAGATTATAAATAAATACAAGATTTTATAAAAAAAAACAATTATTTATGATAGTTTAACAGCTGAGAGATCTATTTAATGAATGAAATCAAGTGAAAGTAAAATAAAGTTTTTTTTTAAATGTGGAAATTATGTATATGATTGAATATTAGGTTAAACTATTGTTGTTAACTCGATTTTTAAAAACTCCTAACCCGATATTTCTAAAAATATTAAGTAATTTGGAAATTTTGCTTATAGATTAGGTTAAACTAATTTAAAAAATGAAATAATGAATATAATAAGTTTTCTTAAAGGCGAAAATTATCTATATGATGAATATTAGGTTAAAATATTAAAAAAATAAGATTAATCATGAATAAATTCAAATACCCCATAAATGCGGAAAAAATTGAGCTTTTTTTTCTCCAACGCCTTCCATTTAAACAGTTTCAAATTGTAATAACAAACATTATCTGACCAAAATATTACATATATTTTATGTTATTTTAGATTTTAGTTTTCTTACCTTTTACATACTAGTAAAATTTTTTTATTAGTTAAAGGAACTAA